TCAAGCGAGTCTCCTGCCTCCGCCTCCCAAGTAGCTGGGACCACAGGCGCCTGCCACAACGCCTGGCTACTTTTTGGTTGCAGCCGTCATTGTTGTTTGGCGGGTCTGGGCTGGGGATTCGAACCCGCCACCTTAGGTGTACGTGGCTGGCGCCTTAGCCGGTTGAGCTATAGGCGCCGAGCAGCCCAGTTTATAATTGCCAAGTTGTGGAAGCAGCCCAAATGCCCATCAACCCATGAATGGATTAACAAACTGTGGTATATTTTTACCATGAAATAGTATGCAGCCATAAAAAGCTGGAGACTTTACATCATTTATGTTTACCTGGATGGAGTTGAAAGACATCCTTCTTAGTAATGTATCTCAAGAATGGAAAAAAAAAGTATCCAAAGTACTCAATATTATTATGAAATGAATATAAAAACACTCTATTATGAATGATAAAATACAAATATAGTCTAACAAGGGGGAAGGAGGAGGCAGGAAGGAGTGGAAGGGACAAGGTATTTGGTAGGAGGAGGGAGGGCATTTGACAGGATTTTGACTAATGTACACAACACAAGGGTATATTTCTAAGCAACTAAGAGTAAATGGTAAACGGCTTACCACAAAAAATAGGTAAGTGAGGTGATGGTTATATTAATCAGTTTGATTTAAGAATTTATCAATTATATACTTATTATATGATTATACATCAAATCATCACATTGTACCCCACAAATGTATACAATTATGATTTAATAAAAAAATTTAAAATAAGTTGGCAAAAATCATGAACAGAAGCTTTTCAAAAGAAGATAGACAAATGGCTAAAGCACATGGAAAAATGCTCAACATCACTAATTATCTAGGAAATACAAATTAAAACCACAATGAGATAGCACCTTTCTCTTGTCACAGTGGCTATTATTAAAAATCCCCAAAACAACAGATGCTGGTGTGGACGCAAAGAGACAAGAACGCTCATATGTTGTTTCTGGAACTGAAAATTAATACAAGCTCAATGGAAAATGGTATGCAGATTTCTCATAGAACTAAAGGTAGACCTAACATTTGATCTGATGGTCCCACTACTGGGTATCTACAGAAGGAACAGAAGTCATTTTACCAAAAGTCACCTGCTCTTAAATGTTTACAGCAGCACAATTCACTGTTGCAAAAATGTGGAATCAATTTATGAGTGGATAAACAAAATGCGATATATACACACAAATACACACATACATACCTATACCATGGTGTACTACTCAGCCATAAAAGGGAATAAATTAATGTCATTTGCAGCAATTTTGGTGGAACTGGAGACTATTATCCTACATAAAGTATCTCAAGAATGGAAAACACCACATATACTGTCTAATAATTTGGAACTAATTAATAGGCACATGAGCACAGAGACAAGTAGAAATTAAAAAATCAAGAAGGGGGGAGGAGAAGGAGGGATAAAAACCTATCTAACATACTTGTGCCAGTTTACATGCTCAGAAACAAGGTATGAGAGTACATGTTGCTCTCTGCCACAAACTTCATGAATACTATTTGAGTGATGGACATACTTATTGATTACCCTGACTTAAGTATTATAAAAGCTATCCATGTAAATAAAAAAGCTAAATGCTAATCTAAAAATACCTTCACAGAAACATTTAGAATAATATTTGACCAAATATCTGAGTACTGTGTGCTACCCAAGTTGACACACACAGTTAATCATCACACCTGGGATCCTATTACAAATACACATTCTAAGCCACTATCACAGTCATTTGCCCTTTCCAAACACCAGAAAGTGTCCCTTTCTACAATTACATTACCACTTTTTTTTGAGTGCAGCCATACACCACTTTTCTCCACTTTATTTACCTACCTGATCTAAGTTTGAGTTTCCTTTCTTTGGATATGACCATTCACGGGGTGGAGGGTTCACATCCAACCACTGGCTTTCTCTAGCATAGGGGTTACAGGAGGATGGAATCACAAGGAGAGCCTCATGAAGGGGAATTCTATGGTCATTAATGGAATGATGCCATTAAAGCCTCATGATCAGTCAACTAGGATGAATGGAATCCATATTTATAAAAGGCTGAGGGTAGGAGCTATAGGCAGGGGCCCCTAGGGGTAAGGGGATCAGTTCAGACACAAGTTCTGGAACAAAGTGTTAAGAGTGGAGATTAACACTTAACAGAGGAGCCAGAGGTATTTTGAGGGAGGCACTCAGATAAACATGAGGGATGGAAAAGGGCATTGTCAAGGCCACTCCCACCTGAAGCTCTTGTAGCTGTTTCTGGGCTCCTTCCCTATAGAGGTTCCTGGGCTCTGATGAGGGACAGGGAGGGAGTCTTCACTCACTCCCACCACCAACCCTCTTAAGAAGTGTACTTTGTTGGAGGTGTCCATGAACTTGGTGCCTTTGTATGTGATGAGTAGGAAAGGAAGTGATATATGGGAAATAATGGCTTTTGACAGAATTAAGCCCTTGTGAATGCTGCAATCCCAGCCTCCCTGCCACCCTGTCCCCAAGCAGAGTATGCAAGGGCCACGGGGAATGAACAGAGAAGCTGTGGTTGGACCCTCCTGGCTATGGATGCCATTTGTTGCCTTCTGTCCTTATCAGCCTCCCACCCCACACTCATGACAATTAGCACATAAATTAACAATGTCTAGAATTAAAGAAAGTTATCATTGAAGATTCTACAAAAACGTACAGCATGATGAGTGCTTATAAACAGCTCTATGCTGATAACTTCTATGACTAGAATGAAATGAGTACAAAATTGTATCTTTTTTATGATTTAATTTATATAAAATATGTGTGTTATGTGATGAAATTGATCTATATAATGCTAAGAATTAGTTATGCCAATTTATATGCTCAGAAACAATGTATGAGAGTATCTGTTGCTCTCTGCCGCAAACTTCAAAAATCTTGAAACCATACACTTGCCTCACGACTTACACTTCCCAGATAATGTCCTAAGGGACACTTTGCAGACAAAGATATGTGTATGTGTGTGTGTACAAAGAGACAAAGATACAGAGAGACACACAGAGATATAGATAGAGAGACCACATACAGGGTTAGCATATTCCTGGAACATGAGACCACAGGGAATCATGGGAATTGGCAGGAGAATGAGTAACTGGAAAACCATGGCATTCCTGATGATGTAGAGATAAGTATGGGATCCATGGTTCCTGCCCAAGGAGAACCCAGGCAGCTCGGGGAGCCTGAATTAGACTATACACTGCAACTGATGGGTAACTTGAGAGACCAATCTCTCTTCCTTACAATTAGGGTGATAAACTCGCAATGTGTTCTCTATTCCCTGGGTGAGAAGCTTAGAAAGATTCAGGAGCTTGTCTTTGACCATGGAGGCACTACATGGAGGAACAAGATTGGCATCATTCTTTATGTAATGGCAGCTACTCACTCCTTAGCTCATAGTTTTAAGAAATTCACACTGCAACATATGGCTCCCTAATGTACATACACATAAAGAATTGAAAAGCAGGCTGGGCATGGTGGCTCATGCCTGTAATCCTAGCCCTCTGGGAGGCCAAAGTGGGAGGATCTCTTGAGCCCAGGAGTTTAAGACCAGCTTGATCAAGAGCAAGACTCCATCTCTACTAATTGTGGTGGGCGCTTATAGTCCTAGCTACTAGGGAGGCTGAGGCAGGGGCATCACTGGAACCCAGGAATTTGAGGTTTCTATAAGCTTGGCTGATGCTACACCACTCTAGCCTGGCATAACAGAGTGAGAGACTCTGTCAAAGAAATGAAAGTTGAAGGAACTAAAAAAATCAATAAGAATTGAAAAGGGCAAGTATTAGGAAATAACATATGACAAACATGAAAGTGGAGGCATATTTTGTAAACTGGTGGTACTTACCTGACCTCTGTCATCATTTATAGTGTTATAATTTGAAAATTTTGTACTGCTCTTCTTAGAATTTCAAAAATTATGCCTGCTTATTTTCCTGCATAGAAAATAAGTTGTGTGAATGTTTAACTCTTGCTTGCAATTTGGAACTGCTAATTGCCATTATTGAGAAAGGTCCCGAACAACTAACCACAATGTGAGCATCTGTGCTATCATTGCTTGTTTAGAAGTGAGATAAGTGGCTGGATCCCCTCAAGAACATGGATATGGGGCCCTGGTGTCAGCTCTCCAAGGAAAGAACTGGACAGAAAGGCTGACTCTTCCTCACCCTGCAGGTACTAACATGAGACTCCTCACACAGTGCACTTTCAGGAAGGAGAAGGGGTGGGACTTTGAGATAGGAAGACAGATGGCAGCATGGGGATAGCTGTGAGAAGGCCCATTTCCTATTCACTTGCATGCAAATCATAAAACTGATCAAGGTATGGTCTTTGAAAATGTTCAAATGATGAAGAATGAGAAGCCAAATGAGAGTCTTCTTTTTCCGTCTTTGCTTCCTTCCTTTCTTCCCATCTGCCTGACCACCTGCCTATCTCCTTTTCACAGTCCTCACTACCCAGTAGGACTCCCTTACAAAACCCCTGTTGTATCAGATATCAGGCCTGCTTCTGCAGGCCTCAAGGTACAGTGTCTGACAGAGTCCAGGTGTCACCAAAGGCCAATCTCTGGAAGTAGGGTGTGTCATTTCTCATCAAGATTTATTGATAAACTCCCTATGAAGTGAAGCCTGATGTATCTGCTAAGGCCATCCAGGGCTGAATGGCAGGTCCTTTTAGTCCTGGCCCTGTGGGCTCCTGGTTAGGGCAGGGGAAGAGCAATCTTGGACATACAATGTGAAACATGCAACATCATTTTTTATTATGAATATTAAAGTGATCCCCAGTGGGGAAAACACACATAACTGGCTCGTTAGGTGGTTATGTGACCTGGCCTACAAGCTACCTTTGGCTTCTTGATCAGCTGGGAATCCAACCTCAGTAATGGGTGTGGCCTTGGGCTGTTGAAAAGAGAAATGAAAATGATGTGGATTGTAACGAAGACAACATCCAGGGGCTCCTTTCAGGGAATTTGTTGGAAAGCCTCCTCTGGGATCTTGCCCTGTTCCTGGAAGGAAGGAGTTGGAATGTCAGAAGAGCCAGGTACCCCAAGTTCCATCCCCAGGTCATGCGCCCTCCATTTTCTTGGCCTTCCTGATAGATCAGACACATCCATTTTTTACCCACTTGATTCCTGGACCTCACCTGGAGCAGAGTAAAGATCTCGCCAGCTTTGTTGTAGTTCCATTCATTGTCCTGAAGACACCTGGGGTGGGAGAAGAACAGGTGACCGCCATTACTATCCGAGGATGAATACACTGATCATGCAATGCCACCACTTCACCTATGTTACTATTTTGCTGGGGCACACCTACCAATATGAGGACTATTGTAGTAGAGAAGAAAGACCTAGTGAACACCAACATGTCTATCACAAACATTCATGTCTACTGCAATTTAAAGCAGAATAACAAGAGTGTTTGAACAAACAAGGGAGCTTAATATGTATTGATAAAGATGTTTGAGAAAATAACAAATGAATTTTTTAATTTCAAATTAATATGAATGTACAAATGTTTAAGTTACATTATATATAAATCTAAAGTAAAGTTCAAGTTGCAGTTGAGCCCTTCACCTAGGGGGTGTGCTGAATACCCTCACATGTGCACATTAGGTGAGATCCCACCAACTGCCCTCCCTCCTCGTGTCCTCTCCCCTCCCCCTTGCTTGACTACATTTGTGTTTTATCTTTCATGTGGGCTTGTAGTTGTTTATATATTGGCTTCATGTTAGTATTGAGTACATTGGGTAAAGAACCTTCTATTTGATCTTCCATTTGATTCCACAATCTCATTGCTAGGTATCTACCCAGAAAAACAAATGAAATTTTAAAAATACAAATTTCCTTTCACCGAGGTATGACACATATACTGTAGCATTCACCATTTTAAAATGTACAGTTCAGTGCTTTTAAGTATATTCACAAGATTGTGACTAAATAATATTCTATTCTGTGAATGTACCAAGTTAATTTGCCTACTCATCAGTTAAACGATATTTGTGCTATTTCCATTTTTTGGCCATTATGAATAATGTCATTATGAACATTCACATGCAAGTGTTTGAATGAACATATATTTTCATTTCTATCAATATATACTTAGGAGTGGGATTACTGGGTCATATGGTAACTCCATGTTTAAGTTTTGAGGAACTTCTAGAATGTTTTCATCCATTTTACATTACCACCAGTAATGCATGAGATTTCCAATTTCTTCACATCCTCACCAACATTTTTTCCCTTCCATTTCATTGATTAAAACAGTTTTTTGTGTGAACTGGTATCTCATTACAGTTTTGGTTTGCATTTCCCCAAAGACTAAATAATGTTGAACTGATTTTTATGTGTGTTTATTGGCCATTTGTGTATTTTCTTTGGGGGAATATTTATTCCAATAATTCCCCCAGTTTAATTAGTCTGTTTATCTCTTTATTGTTGAGTTGTAAGGGTCTCTGGTATATTTTAGATAGTAGATATTATCAGATATGAGGTTTATAAATATTTTCTTCCATTCTTTTACTGTTTTGATAGTGTCCTCTATAAGACTTTGTAATTTTGATGAAGTCCGATTCTCCAATTTGTTCTTTCTTTGCTTGTGCTCTTGGTATTATATACAAGAAACTGTTGCCTAATTAAGTGTCATGAAGATAATACGCTTTTTTTTCAAAGAGCTTTTTAATTTTAGTTGTTTCTTTTATATCTTTATTTCAAATTAATATGAGAGAACAAATTTTTAGGTTATGTTGTTTTCACTTCCAGAGTAACGTTCCAGTTATAAAAAAGCCTCTCACCCAGGGGGAGTGTTATATACTCTCACCATGTGCACATTAGGTGAAATCTCACCTCATGCCCTCCCTCCTTCTTCCAGTCATTCTCCTTCCTCCCCTGTTTCCCCTTCCATTCCCTCTACCTCTGTACTAGACTATATTTGTCTTTTATTATTCATATGAGCATGTAATTGTTTATATATTGGTTTCATATTAGTAGGGAGTACATTGGATATTTATTTTTCCATTCTTGCAATACTTTACTAAGAAGAATGCTTTTCAACTCCATCTAGGTAATGCAAAAGATGTAAAGTCTCCATCTTTTTTAACGGCTGAATAATATTCCATGATATACATATACCACAGTTTGTTGATCCATTCATGGGTTGATGGGCACTTAGGTTGCTTCCATGACTTGGAAATTATGAATTGAGCCACAGTAAACATTCTGGTGCAAATGTATTTGTGGTAAAATGATTTTTGTTCTTCTGGATCAATACCTAGTAATGGGATTTCAGGATCAAAGGGAAGGTCTAGTTTTAGTTCTTTGAGGATTCTCCATACTTATCTCCAAAAAGGCTGTATTAGTCTGTAATTCCACCAGCAGTGTAGAAGTGTTCTCTTCTCTCCACATCCATTCCAGTATCTGCAGTTTTGGGACTTTGTGATGTGGGCTAATCTTGCTGTCATTAGGTGATATCTTAGAGTGGTTTTGATTTGCATTTCTCTGATGATTAAAGATTAAATATGATGAACATTTTTTTCTTGTGTTTGTAGCCCATTAATCTGTCATCCTTGGAGAAGTTTCTGTTCCCACTTATAGAAGGGATTGTTTGCACTTTTCTTACTGTTTAGAGTTCTCTGTAGATTCTAGTTATCAGGCCTTTGTCAAATTCACAACATGCAAAATATTCCATTCCAAAGGCTGTCTGGTTGCTTTGTTTGTGGTACCCTTAGCTGTACAAAATATTTTTAGTTTGATCAAATCCCAAGATTTAGAAATTTTGAATAGACCAATACCAAGTACTAAAATAGCACCAATTATACAAAATATCCCCAAAAAGAAAATCCTGGGACCAGATGGTTTCACAACAGAATTCTATCAAACCTTCAAAGAGGAAGTAGTTCTTATAATGCATCAACTATTTCAAAATATAAATAAGGAAGGAATCCTCCTCAACACATTCTATGAAGCATATATCACCTTGATCCCCACACCAGGAACGGATCCAATAAAAAATAAAACTATAAACCAATATCATTAATGAATATTGATGCAAAAATATTCACCCAGATATTAGCAAGCAGAATACAATGACACATTGAAAAGGTTGTACACCATGATCAAGTAGGTTTTATCCCAAAGATGCAAGGTTGGTTCAACATATGCAAATCCATAAATACTATACACCACATAACTGGAATAAAAAACAAAGACCATATGATTCTTTCAATTGATGCAGAAAAGGCTTTTGATAATATCCAGCATCTTTTCATGATAAAAACACTCAAGAAAATAGGCTTTAGATGGAACATTCCTTAAATTCATAGAAGCCATCTACAGCAAACCCACAGCCAATATCATATTGAGTAGAGTAAAACTGAAAGCATTTCCACTCAAATCTGGAACCGGATAAATACGCCCACTGTTTCCACTGCTATTTAACATAGCGTTGGAAGTTCTAGCCATTGTAATCAGGCAAGAGCAAGAGATCAAAGGAATTAAAATGGGGACACAGGAGGTCAAACTCTCCCTCTTTGCAGATGACATGATCTTACACTGGGAAAATCCCAAGAACTCAATGACAAAGCTCTTAGAAGTGATGAAGGAAAACAGCAATGTCTCGGAGACAAAATTGATACCCACAAATCAGTAGCCTTCATATATGCCAACAATTTCAAGCTGAGAATAAAATCAAAGATTCTGTTGCTTTTACAATAGTACCAAAGAAGATGAAATACCTAGGAGTATATCTAACAAAAGATGTGAAAGATCTCTATAAAGAGAATTATGAAACTTTGAGAAGGGAAATAGTAGATGTCAACAAATGGACGAACATACTATGTTTGTGGCTGGGAAGAATCAATATTGCAAAATGTCCATACTACCCCACATAATCTATAGATTTAATGCAATCCCCATTGAAGCAGCAATGTCATACTTTAAATAACTTGAAAAAATAGTACTTTGATTCATATGGAACCAGAAAAGAACCTGAATAGCAAATATAGTTCTTAGAAAGAAAAACAAATCTGGAGGCATCACATTGCCAGATTTCTGGTTATGTTACAAGTGTATGGTGATCAAAACAGCATGGAACTGGCACAAAAATAGAGATGTAGATCTATGGAATAGGATAGAGAATCTAGAGATGAACCCAGCCACATACATCGTTTGATCTTTGATATGCCTAACAAAAACATGCACTCAGGAAAAGAATACCCTATTTAATAAATGGTGCTGGGAGAACTGGTTAGCCACTTAGAAGACTGAAACTAGACCCACATCTCTCACCATTGACAAAAATTGATTGTTGCTGGATAAAAGATTTAAATTTAAGACAATAAACAATAAAAAATTCTAGAAGATAGTGGGGAAAACACGTGGAGATATTGGCCTGGGAAAAAAGTTTATGAGAAAGACCTTCCTGGCATTTGCAGCAATACTTTTTAGATCTTTAATGTATTTTGATTCAATTTGTGATTACAGTGTTTGGTAGAAGTCAAAGTTTATTTTTTTGCATGTGGACAAGCAGTACTGTTTGTTACAAAAACTATTTTTTCTCCATTAAATTTTTTTTGGTACCAGGTTGAAAATCAATTGATCATAAACGTCAAAGTTTACTTCTGTACTCTCAATTCTATTGCATTGATCTATATATCTGTTCAAATGCCAGTATCATATAATCCTGATTACAGTAGTTCTGTAATATGTTTTAATAAAGGAAAGTGTGAGTTCACTAACTTGTTCTTCTCTTAAAATATTTTTTGGCTATTCTGAATCCATTGTTTTTCCATACAAACTTTAGGATCACCTTGTCAATTTCTGAAAAAAAACCATTTGAGATTTTGCTAGGGGTTGTGTTTAATCTTTAGACTGCTTTTCGTAGTACTGTCATTTTCACAATATTAAAGTCTTCCTAAATATGAAGATGGAGTGCCCATTATTTTTAGGTCCTCTTTAATATATTTCAGAAATATTTTACAAATTTCAAGATCTGAGTTTTGCACTTGTCTGGTAACATTTCTTCCTAAGAATTTATTCTTTTTGATATTAGAAATAAAATAGTTTCCTTAATTTCTTTTATTAATTGTTCAATGAAAGTTTCATGAAAATGCAAATTTTGCATCTTAATCTTTTTTTTTTTTTTTGCAGTTTTGACTGGGGCTGGGTTTGAACCCACCACCTCCGACATGTGGGGCCAGCGCCCTACTCCTTTGAGCCACAGGCGCCACCCTGCATATTAATCTTGTACTCTGCAATCCTGTTTACTAGTTTATCATTTCTAATAGTTGTTTAGTGGATTCCTTAGGATTTTCGATATATAAGATAAAGGCAACTGAACGCTCCTGTGTTAAAATTTTTTTTTTTTACAGATATCAGTATAAAATTAGAATGCCTTTTTATTGGCCCACTTTCTTAAGAAAGAATAATATACAAATACTTATTTTTCCAAATCACCTACAAATTCCCTTATTCACTCCCCTGCTCCTTCCAGTTCACCCTATTGTTAAGAACACCCAACACTCACTTTTGAGACCACTCAAATTTCATCCCAGAATGCATGGAGAAAGCCTGCACCATTTTTTGCTGCTCCTGGGGGAGGGCGAGCAGGGAACTGGAGCAGGATATGGGCACCGAGATGAATAAGGCACTCTGGATCTCCTTGAGGCTGGCATTCCTCACAATCAACTCATCATTCATAATGTATATACTGGAGGGAAAAAAATTGGCCCTGAGCAATTTAAGAGATGGACAACCCTGTACCTCAATGATAATTCTACACTGACTGCCACTCAATTATATCAACTTCCTCCATACCCAAACTGTGCCTGCCTCCTAGGTTCCTTGGCTGATATCCTATAATTGTCCCACAGAGCACACCTCTGGAGAGATTGTCTTCAGTTACACTGTATTTGTAGATATAGCCCCAATGTATTTACCCCGTACAACAGTGCAATGAATACAACACTCTAAATTTTTAGAGGAAGACACTGAGTCAGACACAGGTCATACCATTTGACCAATGTCATATATTGAGTGTTGGATTCATAAAAAGAATCCAGTATTCCACTCACAGAACCTATGTTCTTAACCATCAGAATAGACTGTCCATTGGACCTACGTTTAGCTTTCCACAAACTCTGAAGACTGCATCACTACATTCCCACACCATTGGCTCCAGCCTGGGAAAGGTGTTCCCATGAACAACTTACCTGGAATTGCTGGCAGGGATAAAAATGAAGATTCTGGTGAAAGCACGAAAACAGCCTCGAGATTTTCCTTCTACTTCAAGGACAATAACAAACAAGACCCCCCTTGTTGCACATGCTTTACTTGCTCACATGACATTCCCCAGTCAGGATCTTACTTTGATACTTACGCTGAAGAGGGCCAGCCAGAACAACTGCTCACTTGGAGTCAAGAGGGTGTGGTGGGAATGGGAAGGGCAGCAATAGGAAGAATTCATTCCCAGTGACAGGGCCCCTATCATGTGTAGAGCCCCGTGAAAACCACTTACCAAATTCACCTGATTCCTGTGTCACAGGAGCCTGTGAGAGGGTCATTCTTAGCCCACTCTTCAAATGAGGAAACTAAAGGGTTGAGTGACTTTTCCAGGTTCACAGAATAAGGAGCCAGGATGAGAGCCATCAGGCTCCACAGCCTGTGTCCTTAACATCTGAGCCATGCGTCAGGGCATACAGGCATGGACCTAGGTCAGACCAGGATGGTTTTTCGGCAGAGTGAGGGTCAGAGAACATGGAGGGAAGAAGTGGAAGAAAAGGAATGAAATCAGGGGATCTGAGAGAGCAGTCTCAGGACCTGGGAGGAGACTCTATAGACACTCACCTTCCTTGAACACCCCTTTTACAGAGAAGTAGAGCATCTTTTCCTGAAAGGGAAGAGCCCAGGTGCTCAGGACCCTCCTTCACCTCCCATCCACCTCCAGCTTTCTGGGCTTGCCCAAGGAAGGAAGCAGGTGCTCACTGTCTGGGAGCAGACATCCACCAGAAAGGAGCTGAGGTCGTGCTGTGTTTTGGGTAGCATTATTAGGGTGTCCACGATGTTATGTTTTGTCTGCTTCAGCAGCTGCCTCCTCAGGTCTGTGAGGATAGGAGAAGCAAAGATTGGGGCTGCCACAACCTGGCCCTGGGCCTCTATGAATGCCCCCTTCACATCCCCTTACCCTGCCCAGTCATTGCCATAACACACTCACAGGGGTTCTTGACCATTTTCATATTCCTGCTTTCCTTCACATACTCAAACAAGCTGTTTCTAGGAGAAAAAGAGAAACAGGGGCTGTGGCCCTGCCAGTGCAGCTGTTTCCAGGAGCTGGCCTGTGTCTGCTGGGGAGCCATTCAGCTCTAAAGCAGAATCTGATACTCACAAAGCTGGATCCTTGCAGCTTAAGGGAATAGTCATGGAGAAGCAGGCCTCATCATGGTAAGCATTGAGGAGACTCTGCCTGTCTCCATAATCATAGATGAAATAATACCTGTGTGGAACAACAAGGGTAGGTTACTTCCGTGATCTGGTTTGTGGATGAGATTTGAAAATCTCTGTGAGCGGGTTGCTTCTTGGATGGTTTGACCCATCCCATCCCTCGCCTTCCCTGTGGTTCCCAGAGGTACTTACTGCCTCAGGAATTCTAGAATTAGATTCTTCATGGTATCAGATCCTTTATAGCTATCCTGAAATCAAAAGACATTTTAGACTATGTACATGACAAAGCATCCCTTGAAACCCCTCACATCTTGCTTGATTCTTTTTCTTTACCTGGCAGGGTTTTATCAACTCAGGGATTCCAGTGTCAGCAATAATTGGTGAGGGTAACACTTGTCCATCCTGGAGGAGGGAAGGGGAAGTCAGCAGTGGAGACTAGGGAGATGGCACTGGGGGATCAATGGAATGAACAGGCCCAGAGGTAAGGAGTGAAAGGACTCTGGAAATTCCAGTAGGTGTCTTTATCATAGGGTGCTGGAAGTCTCTATTATTATATGCAAACACCTTTGGGTGTGTGTGCATGCACACATGTTTTTGGACAAATTTTCCAGGGTGAATATTCTTGCATTATTCAAAAATTCACGTCCTCTACAGTGGATGAGGGTATGATGCAGACATGTCATCTAGGCAAGATACAAAGGACTTGAGAGCAGGTGAGGAGGTCATGCATTTGTAAGAATAAAAGGAAACAATGGTGACGGTAGATACTTACCAAACGTAACAATTTGGGGAAACAATCCCGTATGGCACTGTCCAAAACCAAAAATAGAATGAAGTGATTGACCGTTCAGGATGGCGTTCTCATTCTCTTCCCTTTTCCCCACCATGTGCATGCACTCTCCCTTTTGCTTTCACTCTCTGGCCCTTTCCCCCATCCCCCTCTTATTCTCTTTCCTCTCTCTCTCTCCCCTTCTTGCTCTCTTCTCTTTCCTTCCTCCTAGGTGGTCCGCAGCTGGACTATCCTGACTTGCTTTTCCAGTGCCACAAGAAGTAGCATTTCAGCCAGGCTCCAGGGCTTCCTTGCCCTCCCTGCCTCCCTTACCTTCCCACTGGACACCATGAAAGGCTCTGAAGGGAGGAGGGAATGGGGAAGGAGTCAAGAGCTCTGCTACCTCACCAGGTGTCCAGCATTCTGCTGTGCATGGCCCTGGCCCTGGCTGACAACAGGTCATCCCCCAGGGATGGCCAAGGGTGGTGGAGCAGGGTGGTGAGCAAGGCTAGAATCAGGATTCAGAGTGAGGAGATCCCAGAAAGGGCATGAGGGTCAGGGAGGAAGAGATGGGAAAGACACAGGAGAACAGAGGCCATGGAGAAAGAGGAAGCAAAGCACGAGGAAAGGAAAGCAACAGTGCTCTCCCATAGTGGTGGGGTCAGGGAGAAAGAGAGAAGGCTCCCTTGCAGCTGCGCTTTTCCTCACCTGCCCCTGGCTGGCCCTGGACAAAGAGCCAGGAAAGAGAACCATGCACCTGTTGACCTGGGTACCACTGAAAGCAGGTAGGGCTTCTGTCATCCTGGAGAGACCATTAGGAGCTGGGCATGGGAAATGTAGCAGCCATGGGGGTGGGAGACCTTTCCCCAGAAGTGAAGCATCAGGCCCCAGATCAGCATGGGTTTGAGGGGCTGGGGCCCCCTCTCAGGATCACCAGGTTCTCTTCTGATGGTGCTGCCCAACTGTGCCTGTCTGAGCTGGTGCCTTGCCTGAGGAGTCATTCCCACCTTGGGATACCCAGGGCTACTCTGAAGGACCAGGCAGGATGCTATGAGGTATGGGAGGAGGAAGGGGCAATGCCCTGAGAGGTCTGTCCTCCTGTCCCCTCAAGTTCTTCTGCCTTCTGCCTCCTACTCCTGCTTTAGGAAGCCCTCAGCTCACTGGTGGTGGCTCACTTCTGGTCTCTTCAAGAAGGAAACCCAGGTTTCTCCCCAAGAAGGGCCCATCTCCTGCCATTGCAGCAGAATAAAAGATGTCACAACAGCAGCCACCCAGGACCTCAGCCCTCAGCATGGGGCTGGGAAACCATCATGTCATCCGAGGACAGGAGGGTGGGTTGTTGCAGAGCAAGGGAAGGAGGGCTCCTCTCAGGAGAGGGAAGGGAAGGCCGATGTCAACAAGGAGGCAGGAAGGCCTGGGTCATCATGGGTCTTGGACTTCTCAGTCCAGGGCCCCAGCATCTGGCCCAAGTCTAGACAGCCCTGGTGCTAGTGAGGAGGGGAGCCCTGATGCCTGGCACACACTCATTCAGGACATGCCAGAGGAGGCTGGGTGCAGAGAGGCAGCAAACACACCCCCGAGCAGGGGAAAAGGTGAGCAAGTCAGGGAAGGCAAGGAGCCCTGTAAGCACAGCTGAGGGACACACATAGAGAGGAGAAAGTAGGCCCAGTGGTCTTCCCAGAGGCCAAGGCTGCCTCCTCCTGCAGAAGGGCACTGTCAGGGTTAGTTAAGGCTTCTGTGGGCTGAAGGGGCCAAGGAAGGGTGACAGGGGTTACCACTGACCTTATGTAGGCAGACTTGTTTGAGAAGATGTTGCACAGTGGATTCCCTTCTAGCCACAGCTCTTTCAACTTCAGGTTTTTCACCTTGGCCAACTCACAAGCTGACTTAAGCTGAGAAAGATAAGGGGGAAACTAGAGGGAGTCCCAGGGAAAGATAGATATCTGGGACCCTGGACCCCTCAATACCCTCCTTCACTCACAGGTACCTCTGTCTGCCTGTTGTCATCATCCCGGTATGCACTACTTCCCACCCTCACTCAAATTTGATCTGGCTCCTTCCTCTCACCTCATTTTTGGAGAGATTCAGGATCTTGACATTGGGGGCCTTCTCTATAATGTCAGACAGGCCATCCAGCCGATATAGTTTGTTGCTTTGTAAGTTCAAGGACAATAGCTTTTGGGGAAGAATTAGAGTGATGGTTACGCTTTAGGGATTTGGAGATAAGCCTGCCTTCCACCCCATCTCATCCATCTCTCTACCTATGGCCTCACCTCAGGAAAATTCTTCTCAATGATCTCCAGAGTGGCAGCCATGCAGCTTCTTCGATTCAGGATGATGTCTATATTATGACCTACCAAGTCTTCAGAAAAGGAAATCAGAAGGCTGAGAGGGGTTTGCCTGGACCAGGGACAGAACTGACCCCCTCCTCAAGTTTTCATCCCTGATTCTCCCTCCCAAGCAGATCCTTCTGCCCTGACCTATCCTAGAATCACAGTTGACAGCCATACCTGGGTCGAATCGAAGCTTCTGGAGGTCAAGAGCTTGCTGGCGATCATTATATCGTTTTTTCAAGGTCAGCTGCAGAAACAGAGTTGGAAAGTCACTCTGAGGCTGTGCTGGTCATGGTGACAGGGAAATCAGGGTGTGGGGCAAGAGGTGAGTCTGGGAAATAGGCATACGACGTGCTTTGAGTCTGCATTACCTCTAGATGCTCCATTTGCTTTGGCTTCAACTTATTCTGTATAGAGTAGGGTACAATGGAAGGACTGACAAACATAGATATCTGTAGGAAGGAGAGGCAGAGCAAGCTCCAGGATCTCGAACCACACAGAAGATGACCAGTCCCTGGCCTGTCCTCCTGCCCTGAGACTAGATACAGTGAGTGCTCTGGCACACACCTTTCGGTCATCCTCATCCTGGATCTTGTAGCTGATATCTTTCAAAGCAGAAGCAGTTCTAGCATTCTGGACAAAAAACTGGGCCCGGTGTTTGACATAATGGAACTGCAGGGAGTGAAGGCCAGAGCAACAGTGTCAGAGGCCAGCAGCCCCTGCTGAACCAGACCTTCCCTCCTCCCATCCGTGCCCACCCATCTGGCTTCACCATCCCCTCTTACATCAACAGGTGTGAAGGGGACACTGCAATGGCTTTGAATTGAGTTCAGTAGCCATGCCTTGTCATACTTTCTCTCGGAAGGAATCTGAGGGTGAAAAGAAGAAATGGGAGAGAAGAGAGACAGCACGGAATTGAACCTGGAGAACACACCCAGATAGAAGTGCTCTTCTGATCCTCTACCTTGCTTTAATGGACTTCTAATGAAAGGACCACTGACATGATTTCTTATTTTTATAGCAAATATGAATCTCTTAAGGCCCCTTACTCTCCATTCAGAAGCCCCCCTCCAAATTATCAACTTAAGGAGTTTAATGTAGTCTTCCTTCTATAGGGTTCCAGAACATTCTGTCTAATGCAGACCTTGCCATTGACTGTGACCCTGTACCAGCTCCTCTTGGCTCTGTGTCGTATGTTCTTCCTCAATGCTCTCTCTGGAGGTTTTCTATTTCTCCGCACAGATAAACGGGTTTCATCTGCATTATGCCGTTTCACTCCCTTCCTGTTACATCGGACGACACAAGAAGTGCTGTGGGAAATGAGAGGGGAGGAGGGATCCATGAATGCTGAAAGTGTTCCATACACATTCCCCAAATAGGCACCATGGCTATAGTTAGGATTGCTCAACTGTCACTCCACTGCTATCATTCTTCACTTTTCAGTCAGAAAAGTAAGATAGGACCACAGAGAGTGAATGAGTTGCACTGTCCCAGGATTTGCTACATGCAAACCAGACTGCCTGGTCACTTACTGTCTTAATTTGGGGTACTCATGGACATCCCTCCTCTCCGTGTTTCCATCATCCTCCTGGTGATATGAAGGCAGAAGCTCATGTTCACCATGTTCACAGTGAAGGTTCCTTTCGCCAAAATCACCCTGTAAAGGATTCCCACCTTTCTTTCTTCTTTCACAACAGTAACAGTCATCATTGTGTTCTAAAATTAGGAATAAAAATTAATGTTTGAAGTCACATCAGTCACAGCACTCCTTATACCATCCGATTAACCAGTACTACATCCTAAGCTAACATCACAGTAGGGCAAGCAAGATGTCAATGTACCCCCAAGGGACCAATCACATAACCTCCAGAAAACAAACTCCTCTGCCTGCCTGACTGTCCAGACATGAGAGCCTTATTTCACAGGTGGAATAATCAGGGAAGAAATCTTGAAAGAGGAAACAACTCTGTTGAACCTTTTTAGAAATGGAGCAGGTTTTTATAAAGAACAGAGGTACATGCATCCTTGGGTCAGACCAGACATCAGCCACACACTAGGAAGCTGTCTCAATTGTGCCTTCTCTCAGGCTTCTTTAATCTAACAATGACACTAATACCTGGGAGGCAATCTCTCTCACACACCTCGCACATCCAGTCAACCCCCAAATTGATGGTGTGAACCACTGGCAATCTGCACTTCTTTTGCTGGTGCAGTGAAAGCTCTAATGCCACATGGGACTGATGTAACAGCTTCCTAAACTGTCTACCTGTCTCTGGCCTTGCCCCCATCAATGATGAGTTTGCAATATCCAGAGCAAGCTTTCCTTCTGCCAAGCCTAAAATGTTTTCAGTCTAAGACCACAATTCCTCTTTGACTCAGCTCTTCTATGTGGTATAATAAGGGTCTGAGCCAAAAAATGGAGTAATAAGTATCAACTACTATTTCCAGATGTTTGGGTATTTCCTTTTATTGGCCAGAGCTGGGTTTGAACCAGCCACCTCTGGCATATGGGGCTGGTGCCCTACCCTTTTGAGCCACAGGTGCTGCCCCAATATCTTTCTAGTTTTATTTTATTATGATCAGAGAACATACTTTGGATTATTTTAGTTCTTTTAGATTTGTTGAGGTCTGTCTGATGGAGCAAGAGGTGGTCTAATTTCCTGAATGCTACAAGACAGTTGGAGGGGGAAAAAGTGTTTACTTTGCTGTTGTTGGGAAGAGTGCTCTATTTGCATCATTTAGATCCTGTTATTGTATTGATTATATCATTCAGATATTTTTGTATTGTTGCCGACTTTCTGTCTAATAATTCTATCACTTGTTGAGAGGAGGGGTTGAAGACTCCCACTATAATTGTGGATTTAGCTATTTCTTCATTCAGCTCCATCAATGTTTGTTTCCTGTTTGTTTCCTCAGGTTCTGTTGTTTGTTGTGCACACACTAAGGATCATTATGTCTTCCTGGTTGATTGTTTCTTGTATCATTACATAAGGCCCTTTGTCTTTCATTAATTTTCTTTGCTCCAACATCTAGTTTATTGGATAATGTAGACTCAGTATGCATATAAGGTATTTCATTTATACTATGTGTTCCCTCTTAAGAGTGGCATGGATGTTTGCCTCTTCCCACCCCACTTCCCACATACATATCTAACTTACCATATGGCAAGATATCAAAGATTTTTTTTCATCTACCAAAGTAAGATCATCTTAATTCTCTCTCCCAAAGGTAGCTTCACTAAGGATATTTTATTTTTACCAAGGGCAACTGAAACAATATACCAGCAGCTGACAATATTCATGGTTTTTGTTAGGGAATGGGGATTAAGGTAATTAGACCATAAGAAACCAAATTCCTCTTAGGCTCTAACATTTAAGGTTTTCTAGGTCTCTGTGTTTTACATTTCATACACTAATTATTATACATTGTCTCAGGGCTTACTTATGAATAAAAATTCATTCACTGCTGATTTCTCCAGGATGTACTAATCATGACTAGGCCTTGGGTCAAAACCTCTGAGGGGTGAGACGTTCACTACTTCCACTGTCAGGACAGTCCTGCTACTCACAAATTTTGGGAGTTTCCCTGTGTGGCACTGGAAGTCAAATCAAACGTGGGTAGAACATTTGACCTAGACATTCCACATTCTCAGTCCCCCAAATTTGGAGGTAGCCCAAAGCACTCTGTTTGTCTTACACTTCACATCCAACTTGTCAGGACAGATACAGTGTCTCTTGGATTTACCTTTAAAATATTTCCAGAGTCTGGCCACTTCTCACTCCCTCCCTTGCTACCACCCTGGCCAGATCATTAGCATCTATCTCTTGAATTATGTTGCCTTCCAACTCTTCCCTCTGCTTAACACTTGCTCCCTTACCAACTATAAGCATAGTAGGCAGAGAGATTTTTCCAAGTATAACTCAAGTTTTCTTATTCCTCTGTTCAAATTCTAACAACAGGGATTTGAAGTTCATCATTATGTTACCAAACCATAAGTGCACAAGATACTGATAAAAACAACAATAAAAAGTTCCTTATTCATGTCTTTAGAGAATATCAAGAGACCAACTCATTATAACAAAAGGCCTCACATGAAAGAAATAAACAATTATCATAGTGAAGGTTAAGAGTGTATGGCCAATGTATGGAGTACAGAAAGAGTTAGAGCCATGTTTGAGAACTGACATTACTTCAGAAACAAGGTCACTAAGGGGAAAGTATAAAAGTGAGCTAGCCAACAGCTACAGCTACAATGTCAGGCAAGGACTTGTGCTGGGAATTCCACAGGAGAGAGGGCATGGGATAAAAAGTCACAGGGGGACCCAATGGACAGAGACACTGAAGATAAAACACATAAGTTCACATTCACTTACTGATTTCTTGCATCTCGGCACAACCCCAGTCTCATAGTTGTGCTGCCAGAATCGAAGGCATTAACAGGAGGATTATAAACCCTCTAGTGAATCTCACCCAGACCACCTGGGTGTCACCTGAGGCACTACTGTGTCCTTCCTGGCTGATCCTCCCTCTCATAGTTACAGTAGTGAATATCCTTTATGACATCACATGCATCCCTATTGGTACTTCCTGTGTCATTTGGAATTCTGCCTACATCATTGCCACTGAGTAAGTGGCAAATGCATTGCTGTTGTGGAAGGGAAAGAGTTGGGGGGAGAAGGAAACCAACACGTGCCCAGTGGCAACCATTAATTGACTCAGTTGTGGGCAGGCTCCCTAGGTTTATCTTGGCCTCCTCATAGAAATCCCATGAGAGTTGTATCCACAGTGCCTTTCAGATCATGACCATTAGACTCTCAGATGTTAGGTACATTTCCCAAGATTTCTCAGCCAAGTAAGGGGCTTAATAGGAATTGTGTCCTCCCCTATTTGTCCATCTCCACACCCTGGGTGCTCCTTCAGGGACTGCACTGGTTGTCCCTTAAGGGTGAGCTTTCAGGTCTCAGGGAAAGATTTCTATGAGTAGGCCAGCAGTGATTATTTTGTGTTAGTCACTCATGTTTGGGTGGGAACCAGGTGTCTTGGAGCAGGTGGGAGAAATCTGTTCGGATCACAAGGTTTGCAGATTAGAAGTCACTTCAGTCTGTCAGTGTCTGGCATAGAATAGGGGGTACCCAATGATAACATTTTCTAAAAGAATGCATGAAACATAGATTTGGGTTCATCAACAAAACCACTTTTGAGAATATGTTCATATCAACCATTTCTGCCTACAGCTATTCATTTAGTCCAGATACTTTGGGGACTAGTATCCCAGGTTACTTTCATAACCTGCTTGTAAAACCACCACAAATTCAATTTTTTTTTGCAAAATTGTTTTTTCAATTAATGTACTGTTAGAAATAGAACCAAATACCTCCCTATAGATTAATGCCAAAACTGTAGCTTTGCTGAGCTCAGAGAATGCTTTTGCAAATAGTGGTGACAGAAAATGAAGAGAGGCTTCCCCTGAATCCAGCAGAGAAAGATTTCTGGACATCTGCAATATGTAGAAGGGAGGATGTTCTGGACCCACAGGCATGTCTGTGGTCACTCAGCTTTGTGACAGACAGGAAGTATCACCCATCTCAGAGGAAAGGGTGTGTGTGTGTGTGTGTGTGTGTGCACATGAATGCACACACCCACACACTAACTCATGCATCTGTACACACTGGCATGCATTTGAACTCTGTATTATATGCTTTTATAAATTAGGTTGCAGCTGCATTTATGACAAATCATGTTGGTAAGTGTGTTGCCACACAACACTGGATCCACTGCCATTTCATGTGTTATGCATTACATGTGGCCAAATTTTGTTTCTAGTTTTGAATATGCTTTCTAATGCCTTTTTTTACATCTTTTTTTTTAAATTTCAGTTTAATATGAGAGTAGAAACAAGTTAAATTGTTTGTGTTCATTATGTAAATTCCAAGTTATAGTTGAGCCCTTTATCCAGGGATGTGCTGTATATTCTTACATTGTGCACCTTAAGTAAAAGCGTAGCAATCTGCCTTCCCTTCTCCTCTTTTCCCTTTCCATCCTCCCCCTCCCTACTTGAATTTAATTGTGTTTTTCTCTTATGTGGGTGTGTAGTTGTTTACCTACTAGTTTTATATTAGTATTGAGTACATTGTATATTTGCTTTTCTATTCTTGTGATACTTCACTAAGGAGAATGTTTTTCAACTCTATCCAGGTTAATATAAAATACGTAAAGTCTCCATCTTCTTTGGCTGAATAGTATCCCAGGGTATACATATACCACAGTTTATTAATTTACTCATATGTTTATGGGCCTTTGGGTTGATTCCATATCTTGATGATTGTGAATTGAGCTGTTATCAACATTTGAGTGCAAATTTCCTTATGCTAAAATGATAGTTTTTTTCTTCTGAGTAGATATCTAGTAATGGGATTGTTCTGGGAAAATGATTTAAACTTGACACATGAAACAATAAAAATCCTAGAAGAAAGTATGGGAAAACCTCTTGATGATTTTGGTCTGGGAAAAGATTTCATGAAGGAAACCCCCTTGGTAAATGCAGCAACACCAAAAATAAATAGGAGATGATCAAGATAAAAGCTTCTGTAAAGCTAAGGGGATAACAATTAAAGCAAACAGACAACCTTCAGAATTAGAGAAGTATTGCATACTATGAATCTGACCAAGGGTTGATAACCAAAATCTACAGAGAACTCAAACTAATCAACAAGAAAAGAGCAAAAAATCCCATTTGTAAGTGAGCACAAGACATGAACAGAACTTTCTTCCAAAGAAGACAGACAATTGTCCAACAAACAGATGAAAAAATGCTCATCATCCCTACTCATCAAAGAAATGTAAATGAAAACCAACTTGAGATATCACCTAACCTCAATGAGACTAGCCCACATCACAAAGTCCTAAAGGTGCACATGCTAGTGTGGAGTGGAGAGAAGGGAACACTTTTATGCTGCTGGTAGGATCTAATAATCTAATGAACACTTTTATGCTGCTGGTAGGATGCAAACTAATACATCCTCTTTGGAAAGAAGTATGGAGAATCCTTAAAGAGCTAAAAGTAAACCTTCCATCTGATCCTATATATTGGTGTTTTAATATTTGAGTTGATTGTTTGAAATTAAGAAAGTAATAGACTTCTCCTTACAAAAAAATACTGGAATCATAGCCACAGATTGGCCAGGATTATAGCGCATACCTGGGGGTGGAGACAAAAGGACCCAGTGGAAACAGCTTGGGCTTAAGAGTGGTTCTGCGATTTTGAGTCCTTGATCTACAGATTCTCAGGAAAATCACATGAGTATTTTTAAACATCAGAGATATTTTTCTAAGGATATATAATATTTATTTCAGTATAATTTCCACTGTCCATGTGAGTCTATTTTCCTACAATTTGTTTAACTGTTCAAAAGCTGTTTTTTGGGAGGCGCCTGTGGCTCAGTGAGTAGGGCACCAGCCCCGTATACCGAGGGTGGTGGGTTTGAACCCAGCCCCGGCCAAACTGCAACAACAATAATAAAAATAGCTGGGTGTTGTGGTGAGCACCTGTAGTCCCAGCTAATTGGGAGGCTGAGGCAAGAGAATTACTTAAACTTAAGAGTTTGAGGTTGCTGTGAGCTGTGATGCCATGGCACTCTACCAAGGGTGACAAAGTGAGATTGTCTCTAAAAAAAAAAAAAAAAAAAAAAAGCTGTTTTTTAGAGACAGAACTGTTTATTTATTTATTTATTTATTTTTTGAGACAGAGTCTCACTGTGTTGCCCTCAGTAGAGTACTGTGCTATCAAAGCTCATAGCAACCTCAAACTCCTAGGTTTAAGCAATTCTTTTGCCTCAGCCTCTCAAGTAGCTGGGACTACATGCACCTACAAGCATCTATTTCTTTTCTTTCTTTCTTTCTTTCTTTTTTCTTTTTTCTTTTTTTTTTGCTATTGTCATTATTGTTTAGCAGGCCCAGGCTGGGCTTGAACCCACCAGCCTCCGTACATGTGGCCAGTGCCTTAACCACTGTGCTATGGGCCCTGAGCCTCAAAAGCTGTCTTTATACTTTGGCCCAGACATCCCACTTTTTGAATTTATCATACAAAATCTTCTCTGTCTAAGTGTATACATATAATTATATATGTCATAATTATATGTGCTAGCCATTTTGGCATGAAGGGGTGATGAGATCAAAGGGTGGCTTTTATTGTTGGGAGAGGGATAGAAATGATTACCTTTGGAATCAAGTATAGATTGAAAGGAAGGGATGTTAGCACCTTATACACAGAGTGAAGTGGCCAAGGGATGGATGTACATATCAGAAAGATTAGGATCAGTATTTGGATGAGAATGAAACATACATCATAAAAGCCTTTGAGGAACCAAATTCATCCTGGCGATATGCTCTCCTTCAGAAATCTTGCTTTCTTTCCAGTTATATCTTGTCAGTATATGTTACTTCACCTTAAATTGAACACTAGAGAAACAGTTCCCACATAGTCTGAGGAAAGAAAGGCAGTACAAGGGAACGGTGTGCAATGATTGCTTTCCTGGGCTATAGGATGGAGAGAGTCAGGGGATATTGGTTTTATACACCACACCTATCACTGCCCACAAGATTTTGAGGCCTGTCCCACTGCTCACTTCAGTTCCAACACAGAGATGCATATTATTGGTTATAAGCATAGGATTGAGGTTAGACCAATCAGTATTTTAATCCTGGTGCTGAATTCTGTGGTCCCTGGAAAGTAACTTTGATCTCTCTGTAACTTGTGTTCTTTTTTCCCTCCTCACCATTTCAAGAATAGTTTCTATTTCATGGGGTTATTGTAAAAAAAATAAGTGAACTAATATACAGAAACACGTGAAAAGCATCTGGAGAAATTCCTGTTATCTAATGAGCACTATAAATAAATTGAGTAGGAGGGGGCAAGATTGCTGACTAGAGCCAGCTTTACACAGAGGCTCCCATCCATAAGGAGAGTTAAAGGTCAGAAGTTTAGCAAGTAAGCCGATGGTTTGGAGCTGAGCCAAGAGAGAAGATTGAAGAGCACACATCACCCCTGATGAGGCAAGCTGTGACCCCAAGGAAACAAACAATAGGTATAAAACCCATTGCCAAGTGGACAGTAGTCCCCTCTCCTGTGAGAACGGCTCTCAGTATACTTTCTACAAACAAGCGAGCAGAGTTCAGATCTCCTCCTATTTTATCCCATGGGAGAGACCCTCTAAAAACCAGACCTCCTTCCCCAGAGAGGACCCACTAGTGTGCCATGGCAATCTCCCACCAGGCATAAAACTGAACATATACACTACCCACAATTCTGAACTCCCAGCACTTCCCTCCACTATCACTCCATGGTCTGGAAGTCTGTCCCCCATGGAGTTCATATTCTTGGGCACTTT